CCCCTATCACTTATACTACTTTCATCGGACTGATTATTCAGGACGTCGTGTTTTGTCGCCATTAGCTCGACCTTGCCAACAAACTCGTTAACCCTTTTATCCGGCTTCCCACCAGTTACCCTAATGCGGACGAACTCTTCGACAGGTAAGGTCTGAGTTAAGACGGACGCAAGACGAAGTTTCCAGTCCGTTTCACCGTCGAGCTGATCTGTCCTGATGAATGTCTCCCCAGAGGACGCACCTTCAGAAGCATCCGAACTGACAGCCTCGGGGTTCTTCCCCTTTCCAGGAGTAGAATTGTTTTGATCTGCATCTGTCTCAAAAGGGTTAACTAGTAACGACTCTGACTCTGCATCTTCACTATCCTGAATTTGGGCTTGTGGACTCTCCGGCGTCGAGCATTTCAAGATGACGACATCAGCAGGAACGCGCTGGCCTTTGCTAAGCTTGAGAACATCGCCAACCTTGAGATCTCGGGATTTCTTCTTAACTTCTTGGAAAGAGGACGACGGGTGACCTAGACCTTGGCCTTCCACTTGTTCTTCTTCTTCCTGGATATCTGACAACCGGTCCCTTTGGGTTAATGGTTGGCGATCTGCTTTCCGTGAGGATGTTGATTTAAAAATTTTGGGACGGCGGGAGACTGAATTCTGATGACCTGGCTCTCCAAACTGTAGAACAACATACTCCTCGGAGTTCGCTTCATTGTCTCTCCGACGCCGCTCTATATCATCGTATGCCTCCTTTCCCATTGTGATAACAAGAACGAACGCAAGCGGCGCGACGTACGTGGATAAATAACCTATCCTCAGGGCTGGAATGGCCTGTGATAAGGCGACGAGTAGAAAATACATGTTGAAGAAGAAAGAAAATTCATTATAGAGAGTAATAGGAAGGAATGTGAGCGCGGTGTATTTCGCATTCGAGACGAGGTTCGGTGGGTAACGTATAGATTGAGGGGAACCAACGGCAACGGTCCTCGACGTCGAGGGGTCGTCTTCTCTATTATCAATGGCCGTATCGTCATCTTGCCGATTTGAGCCTGTGCTTGACATAAAACTAGGTAGCCTTAGAGAGGAGCCGATATGAGCCAGGCCATGGAGTCTATCGCTGGCGAACGACCGTCTCTGGGGGCGAGGCGCATATTCGTCTAAAAGGGGAGCTTCATCGCCGGCATGGTGACTTCCATCCGAGTAACGCTGCTCATGTATATCATCCTCTAGCAAGTCTGCAGCGTCACCGTTCCCATCCCTACTGCGACCAAGCTCGCCGTAGCCGCGACTTCGATTCCCTACCCGTCTCAGACCGCCCATGCGAATATTTCTCAACGCAATCCGTGGCGCTCGTTGTTCGGGACTATGGTTGCGTCCAAAGAGCCGGGAGGCTTGGGCATGCGATGAGGTGGTAGGATCTAATTCTTGCAGGTCCAGGTCGACATCTGAATCCGAGTCGTTTACAGGGGAATCGGGCGGCTCGGTCGGACGGTACGAGTTTAATGGCGGCATTCCCGCATTGGGATCATGCTCCTAAGAGGAGCTACTTAGAAAATACGGAACCCGGCTGATGGCGTTCGCAGTAATGGACAATACAAAATCAACATGCGAATACCTAAAGCTTACTGTAGCAGATGTGAGTAGAATAGCCTCGAGTTGCCCGAACGTGCGCGGAATAATATCTGATGAGGCCCTGTAGATATTATAAAATCCTTAGCGAATTCGAGACATAATAATCTTAATAGCGAAGCTTAGTAGTGAGAGTGCGAGAGGAAAACGATTATAATTTGGTTGTATAGTAGGTATGGAGTGTTAAAGTTGGCCAAATATCAAATGTTCGACTTCCGTAAAGGTGGCTCATTGCAGGCAGGCGGATACATGTAGTTACCTACACTGATTGATAGCCTATGTACACTACATAAGCCTAGCATAGCGTACCCACTTACGCGCATACCATGTACTGAAGTACCTAACGTCGTAGCATTTGAAGGAAGCTTCGTTGGATTCGTTTCAGCGTACCGATATACGAAGTGCATATGCACCACAAATACACACATGCAGGTAGTTCAGTTCCTCCTTTAAACTTACCGTACATACATACCTATGTATAGCTTATCTATGTGACCCTAAATGGCGTATTTTACTTGGACTTGCATGTTTGATGAGTAGCCCGAATAACTACAGAGCCATAACTATAATTAAAGATAGGAAAATCATAGCTGGAGCCATTGTCTGGAAAATCACGCGTAAATAACTCAGATCTTCCGTACGTTTATTTATTATCTTATTGGCTCAGCATGTAGAGTGGTTTGATCATAATCCATATGCGCCCAAGGGGAAACAATTGTAGTCGTTCGGATCGTACAAATCGAAAGAAGCCCTCGATTAAACGCTTCATTGTAATAGGAAAAGGTTCAATGGCCTTAACCCCCCTGATATCCATTGTCGTCCTAACCCTAGCCATATAGTAAAGCTGCTGGGAAGTTAGTTGGGTGGTTAAGTAATAGTAGTATTTACTACTAACGTGCTCCAGTCCGCCAACGCTCTAATAGCCCGTATGGGTATGTCCGCCTCCTCTTCTTCATCTGTTGATCCTGAAAACCCGCCATGCCCTAAGCGGCAGGGCTCAAGTCACCGCTTTTCATCACATCCGCCTCGCTCACCTGCCAAGTTCATCCAACGGAAGATCGGCTTCGTCTTTTCCAACGATAGAATCAGCAACCTTCCAGATCTGGAGCATATTGTCCTCAGCAGCGCTCGCTACGAGCCAAGGGTCGTTCAAATTCCAGCTGAAATCGGCAAGATGATTAGTGTGGCCGCCGTGCATGAATAAACTACCAAGTATTAGCCAATGTCTCTCCGTATGATATCAAAAGACTCACAGTTCAGGAGGTCCATCTTCTTGATCATCCGGTTGTTGTTCCTCACCAACTCTACTTAGATCCCAGAAGATGATTCGCCGGTCGTAACTAGCACTGCCTAGAATGCCTGCTTCGTGAGGATGCCAGGAAAGAGAGGTGACCGCGTCTTGGTGGCCTTCCAACGTATGGACCTTTTCCTTTACGTTACGAAGGTCCCAGATGCCGATGGTCTTGTCAGCGGATGCGGTCGCCACGAGAACCTCGGTCGACGGGTTGAATGCTAGTGAGTTAATAGCATCGCTATGCCCATCCTTGGCAACCAAAGATGATTGAGTATTAGACGGCTGCCTCACATCCATGATTTGCAGAGTTAAATCGTCAGATACACTACCAATGAAGTTTTTAGATATAGGATGATATTGAACATCGTTAACAATGTTAGTGTGATGAGTGAACCGGCGAGAAGGACCGAGGGTTGTGCTGCCATTCTGTAGCGACTTGAGGTCCCTGTTGCATGTTATTAGCACGATCGAATAATTGTCTACATCAGGTTTTCAAGGGAGCAGCATACCAAAGACAGACGGTCTGATCCTCGCTTCCTGACGCTAAAGCGCCTTCAGAATGGGGATTCCAGTTGAGACCAAACCCCTCTTGCTTATGGCCTTCAAGGCTAATTTGAGGATTAACCTTGCCGTTGGGCTCGAAGCTATGCTTAGTTCTATCGAATATGAGAATTCTACCGTCGACAGCTAATGTCGCGATCAGGTCGGGATTCTGAGGGCAGTAACGGGCCTTATTGACCTCGCCAGGGTGGTCGATCTTCTGAACGATGCTCCATTTCATGGCTGTGGTAACATCTGTAGACGGAGATTTGCCGTAGCCACCAATTTCACCCCGCTCGTCATCATAGTCGTTTGCATTAGGGCGAACTGACTTGGGTATCTCGACCTGGGCAATCTGGAGATGATTCGGCTTGCCCTCAGAGGTATGCGTTCCGATTAGGACTCGGTGGATACGGCAGTTCTTTCCCTCAGGCTCCTTTACATCGGGAAACCATTGAACCGTGAGAGTAGGCCATGTTAGGGCGGTGCTGCAATTTGTTAGCAGGAAGAGCCAACTTGTGCTGCCATGTACAAGCTCACCTCAGGATCATATCATAGAGAAAAGGTGAATTCTTTTTCCACGTCTTGTACTCTAATAATCGTAAGAATTGCACTAGTCACTGCGGAAAATAATCGTGGCCTACCTTCATTGATAAGTCTCTGCTCCTCGTCTTCATCATAGTCCTGGGCCATGTCCACTTCTACTACGTCAATAGGTATTCATGAGAAAAGTAAACAAGAGAACACGACGGAAAAGGAAATGAAAATACTAACCTTCGACATCCTCGACAACAGGGCCTGGAGCCATATTGAATTGACCTTTCTCGTAGAATCGATTACGGGATGTTGCGATTTCGGGAGTTGAGCTCAGGATATTTGCTAAGTGTTCAGAAGGAATTTCGCGACTGGACGCGATGCCGCGTAAAGTATGGATTTAGAAGTACCTACATGTAGCCTACCTAAGGTAGCAAGGTTGTACCGCCTATCGCCTGCCACCCGATCTGATAAAAGGGGATTATGTAATACATATCCATGAATGCATACATATGTATGTACTAACAAGAATGTCCCAGCCGTAGTGCGGGGGAGCTGAGAGGTACCTGTAGCTGATAGGTAAGTCAGTTCTACATTGCACCCAATCCTACATGTACAGTACGTGTACTTGAATTTTGGGGTAAGGCTATCGGGTACCTACATCCTCGTACCTATTCCCACTAGGTTACAAGGTTGTGTGCCACCACAGCACCCACGCAGCCCACGACACCACTAACCTGCAAAACCAGTATCGCGGTCAATGACTCCTCGTCGCCGAGATCAGAGCTACACACTACACACACTACACACACTACACACATAAACGCATACACAGATCCGCGTCGCATTCAAGTTACCGAGGCCGCCAGTAACCTGTCTATCGTCGCCAAAAAAAAATATTGCATTGCCCCAGATGCATTGCCTCGACGATATTCGACAAAAATTCAACTACATCGTCTATTCCATATAACGCCTTACTTCTTTGAGCGCCCTCCCTCATTAAAAGTTCATAGCAGAACATCAGATCGCAAAGCAGTATTTTGTAGTTCCTTGCGGACGAGATCTTAGTTAGACAAAATTTGTCACATCGTACATCGGTCTTGCGGCGTTGTACACATTCTATAATTTTCTTTCCTCTAACTACCAACTCCCACTAATCAACTAAGGTCAGAATGGGGTACGTATAAGTCATTCTCGAGATCAGATTCTAAAGCATAGTATTAACCCCAGTCTAGTGTTCCCAAGTTTTTCAGATGGCTCTCGGAGCGATATCCTGCGATATCCCAACTTATTGCTGAGAATCGCATCCCCGAATTCGACAACCTTTATGTGCGGCAATCCACCAATATATCCTCTCTCGCCGTCGTTCGCTAACCTACGTAGTTGGATATGAATGGTATTATACATAATTGTACCCACAAAGACACCCACGATACCTCGTTCCGCCTGAGCGAAGATGAGATGTTCATTCGCATATTTAACTATATTGAGCACTTGTTTGGCAAGATCAAGCCCAAGAAGCTGTTCTTCATGGCTATTGACGGGGTGGCCCCCAGAGCGAAGATGAACCAGCAGAGAGCTCGCCGTTTCCGAACTGCGTTAGATGCCGAACAGGCTCGCGAGAAGGCAATACGAGAAGGTCAAGAACTGCCAAAGGATGATCCCTTTGACAGTAATTGCATCACGCCAGGTACCGAGTTCATGGCCAAGTTAACCCAACAGCTCAAGTACTTCATCAGCAAAAAGATCTCCGAGGATTCCGATTGGCAGGTTTGCGACGTAGTTCTGTCAGGTCACGAAGTACCCGGCGAAGGAGAGCACAAGATCATGGAGTACATCAGGAATGCAAAGGCCCAACCCGATTATCACCCTAATGTTCGCCATTGTTTATATGGCCTAGATGCCGATCTTATCATGCTAGGGTTGTTAAGCCACGATCCTCACTTCTGCTTGCTTCGAGAAGAGGTCACCTTCGGCCGCGCCTCTAAGACGAAATCGAAGGAGCTAGAGCATCAAAACTTCTACCTGATGCACCTATGTATAGTTCGAGAATATCTTGAATTGGAGTTCCAGGAGTTGAAAAAGGAAGGAGCCATAAAAGTGCCTTTCGACATGGAGAGGATCATTGACGATTTCATACTTATGGCGTTCTTCGTTGGTAACGACTTTCTTCCAAGTCTACCTAATCTTCATATTAACGAAGGGGCTTTGGCGACCATGTTTCGTATTTATAAACAAGTCCTCCCGCAGTGTGACGGTTACATCAACGAAGGAGGGGTCATCAACCTCAGCCGTCTGGGACTATTGCTAGAGGAACTCTCCAAGGAGGAGGACCGATTTTTTGAACATGAGAACGCCGACTCCAGGTGGCTCAAGGGTAAACAGGCAGTGGAAACCAATGGCGAAGTGCCGGCTAAGGCGAAAGGACAGCTCGTTATGACCAGTTCTCAGAAGGAATTGTGGAAGAAGATAAGGAAGTTCATAAATACGCAGCCGCCTACTCCTCTCAACCTTGGCCACGAGCTTGTTGCTGCCGACCGAAAATTTGTACAGGACACCGCTGATAGCCTTCATGTTGAATGGCGCACCATCGAAGACGACGATGGACGACGCAACCTAGTCCTAACAATTCCTACAAATCCAGACGGCGATGAAAATGATGAAGAAGAGGAAGAAGGCCATATGGCCTTGTTTCGCGTTATGAAGCGTTATGACAAAGCTCAGGTAGTCGACTCTTCTGCCGAAGAAGCCCAGGCGGCCGCGCAAGCAAAGTATAAGGAAAAGTTCTTGGAGTGGAAAGACAAATACTATACAAGCAAATTCGAATGGTCTCCGGAGGTCAAGGAGACAGAGCTGACGAAGCTTTGTGAGAATTACGTCCAAGGCCTACAATGGGTGCTATACTACTACTATAAAGGAGTAGCTTCTTGGCCATGGTTTTATGGTTATCATTACTCTCCCATGACATCCGGTAAGTCCTAGCAACCTCGGTCCTAAAGCAAATGACTCTGCTAACAGTCGGCCCATCTAGACATTATGAAAGGCATGAATGCTGATCTAACATTCAAACTCGGTCAACCCTTCCGACCGTTTGAACAGCTCATGGGTGTTCTCCCAGACCGAAGCAAGAAGATTGTTCCTTCGGTATATCACGAGCTCATGACAGATCCCAAATCACCAATCATCGATTTCTACCCACGGGACTTCGAGCTCGACATGAATGGCAAGAAAATGGAATGGGAAGCAGTTGTTAAAATCCCCTTCATCGACGAGAAGCGACTGTTGTCTGCAATGGCGCCCAAGAATGAGCTTCTTACACCAGATGAAAAGGCTCGCAACGGCTTTGGTGTTTCAATGAAGTTTACATACGACCCTAACATTGACTTTATATACCCCTCGTCCATGGTCGGAATCTTTCCCGATATTCCCCACTGCCATTGTGTCGAAAATATTTTTGACCTACCCACAACAGAAGGGCTGGAGTTATATGTTGGCCTACTCGATGGCACAAAGGTCGGCGTGGACGCGTTAGCAGGATTCCCCAGTCTTGCTACACTACCTTACAATGCTACCCTTGGCTTCCACGGAGTAAATGTTTTCCAGCAGGAAAGTCGAAACGAGAGCATGGTTGTAACCCTAGCCGACGTTGAGCTCCGAAGTAGAGTTGAGTCGGCAAAAGTCAAGCTGGGGCAAAGATGCTACGTTGGTTATCCCTTCTTGCAGGAGGCTAAAATCGCACGTGTATCGGACGAACTATTCGACTATTCGTTAGCTACGGATGGTTCTGGTCAAGTGATACAGACTCACCATTCTGGTAGGGAGATCGACGATTGGAATAGAAAGGCCTTTCGTATTGAGAATTTCTATAATAGCCGACTCGGCATCATTATTGGCCCCGTCGAATCTATGGTCCATGTTGAAATGCTGAAGGGGCTCATTAAGACGGATGAGGGTGCCACCATTAAAGAATATGGCCCAATCCCAGGCATGGAAACGGATTACGCAGCACAGGTCATTGTCGACGAAGTTGTAAGCGAAGACGAACGTTTCATTGAAAAGGCTGCAATACCGTTCGAGGAGGAGTTCCCCGTCGGATCCCGCTCTTTCTTTCTCGGGGACTATGCCTATGGGCGCCCCCTTCAGATCTCAAGTCACAACGACAATCAAGCCGAGATCATGATATCTTTTCCGTCCGTAAAAGAACCAAACTTCACGCAGCAGATCATCCGTCGCGCCGAACAGCAAAGCGGTTATCGACCGTCTTACGCCGTTGCGAAAGACTTGGGGCTTCACCCACTTGTTTTAAGCAAGATCACCTCATCTTTCTTCGTTCATACGATCGGCGGCAGCATGAAGGTTAATCTCGGACTAAATCTCAAGTTTGAGGGAAGGAAGCAGAAGGTCTTGGGGTACTCGAGGAAGTCAAATTCGGGGTGGGAATTCAGTCCTGCTGCGATTCAATTGCTAGTAGAATACATGACTCGTTTCCCCGATTTCTTCGCTGCTGTGATGCAGAACCCGTCAGGGAGCGAACTCAACGAGACTCAACTCTGGCCGGACAGCAACGTCGCCACCGCTAGGATTAAGGAGATTGGCGCATGGCTCAAAACTGTGGAGACCAGTAAGTTCGAGCGAGTTCCTCTCGATGCCGAACAGCTGGACTCCGAAGTGGTCATGCAGCTCCAGAATGCGGTAGATTCGCTAAGGGAAACCAATGAAAAACACGAGGCTAAAAAGCTCAAGTGTGTTCCCCGGTCCGCCCTACTTAACCCGAAAGATGCTACGCAACGACTCGGCAATCAGAAGTTCAGCTTAGGTGATCGGGTTGTCTATGTACAGGCGTCTGGAAAGGTACCCATTGCTTCTAGAGGTACAGTTGTTGGTATAACCACTGTCGGGAATCACCACATGCTCGATATACTTTGCGACAACGCGTTCATGAATGGGACAACCTTAGGCGGTCGCTGCGATCCTTTCCGGGGACAGACCGTCCCAGCCAATTCGGTACTCAATGTCACAAACAGGCAAGTAATTGCAAATTCGAAGATGAGTCTAGAAAAGCGACCAACTCAAACAACGCTACCCCTTCATACGCGAGGGTATGGTGCACCTGGGGGCTCAGGTAGTCAATTTAGAGACGCGCCAGCACCAGGTCCCCTCCGTGGGACGTGGCGGGGCGCCGTAAATGGCTTCAATCGGCAACCAGGACAAGGGCGTGGTGGTGGTCAGGCCCACCAGAAACCTAACGGAGCTCCTTGGCTACAGCATAGCAGCTCGGTTTACCAGTCGGCACCCAACGACGATCCATCGCAAGGGTCAGCGCAGCAAACTGGTGGTTATCCTACACGCGGTCGCGGCGGCCCGAATCGAGGTGGACGTGGCAACCGCGGTGCCAGGGGCGCCTCGAATAGTCCGAGCAACGTGAATGGGTTTGCTACCCAGCAGTCATATAACGCTGTTCCTCCACCAGCCGGACTGGACACCCGCGGTGGTAGAGGGCGTTCACGTGGTCGTGGGGGTGGTCGTGGACGTGGAGCTCGTGGCGGATCCAGCGTGGATCAACAGGCTGGAAATTCTAGCTAAGCCATGTCATACAGGCGCTTATAGCATAGGGAACAGGAGCTATTCGACACTGGCACGGCAAACAGCAGTACGAGGTGGAGGAAAAGTGGAAGATAGTATAGGATGACCTCATATAAGTCTTGGTAATTTTGCCCTGGCGAAATAAAACATGGACACGACAATGGAGGCGACGCAATACAAGATGTATAGTCTAGCTATATGTCGCTCCTGGATGTATTGGCATCTCAGAGAGGCCAACTATAATAGTTGCCCATATCAGTGGTCACGCATCAATAAGCTACCTACTTATCACCTACTTATGTTATCTACAGCATAGAAGCCTATCCCATAGAGAAAGCACAGCTAGAGCGCCTGTGTGAAGTAGACCAAGCACATAATCTTAGCATATTGCTATATAAGATCGGGTTAGCTGGCCATTACTACTCATCCATATGAACATATTGTATGTACATATATACCTACATAGAAAAACAGAACAAGCCGTAATAGCAGTATAATATTTCTAAAATCGGTTACATAAGTGTATCTGTATAGCAACTCTAATATAGTTTCCCAGGATATATCTAACAGCCTTGATATCATGATTAAGGTCTCGCCTTTACTTCACTTCTTACTACAAGGCAGAATACTATTGGACCCTCGACCAACTATCCCAAATCATTGGGTAGGCCCCAACAGACAAAGATCTCTGGAACGAGTATTTACGAGCTGCATGGAAATATTATCCTCAATCGTAACCAGAAGAGCCAAAACGCACTACGATTTTTCTTGGTTTCTTTTACATCCTTCCATTCCACCCAATAGCTCAGTCATCAGAGCCAACCAACCACCTATCCGTCTACACAGCCCGGCTCCTCGCTTAGACAACCACCTCAGGAGCCCACCCCTTACTTGTCCAAAGAGCTAGCTAACTACAGAGATACCTTTTAGAGAGACAAAGAGCTCGTCTCGTTCGGAGATAAATAGACATAAACGAACGGAAAAAATCCATAGCAAAAGACGAAAGAAGACGGGACGATGAGCAAAGAGAAAATAAGTAATTTGAGTTGAAATAGAGCGTAACAGGTGTAGCAGTAGTAGTAGTAGTAGTAGTAGTAGTAGTAGTAGTAGTAATAGTAAAAGGAAGATACAATAAAACTCTAGGAATAAGTCCGGGGTTCGACGAATGAAGCCAGGTATACCATTTACACTCCCTGCGCTATGCACCACCATTCAGATCCCGCCTTTACTGCACATATCCGTCCATTTGTACAAAAGTTGGTCCTTCCACCTAGGTCAGAACTTTCAATGTATATCGGGTAACAAGGTCGTCGACATGGTTGACAGTAAAAGAACCTTACCCACCACTCCCAGCAACCAAGGCCCCTTCCCCTAGATGTCCCTTCTAGAAAATCGGCCTTTTTTTGTCTTTTCCAGCTCCACTCAAACATTTCCGGTGTAACTTTTTCTTGTCTCTTAAAACAAAAACGTTTCCCCCACAAACACCCTGCTAATCCTTTGGTATCCTCGACTCCCCCTATGCCGCGTCTTCAAAAACTGAGCCCACACCCTTAGGAAGTGCCGTTTTTTACGTCCTGAGAAGTACCGCCAAGGATGACACCGCCCATGATTTACCGTGTACTACAACATTCCAAACACGGCCGAAATCGGTCATAGTGAAATCGAATACCGAACACTCCGCACGAGGGCCGTATGAGCCGAAATACTTTTTACGTTTAAGCAGGTGATTTGTTCGAAGGCGCACCTGCGCCATTCTGACGAGCATCGCCACCACTGACGGACAAACCACCAATACCGGAAGAGAGGAATGCAAACGGATCGTTTTCCGACTGAGACGAGTAGAAGTTATTAGATGGTCCGGCCGAGGCGGGACCGTTGCTTGCAGACTGGAAAGCAGCCTCGGCCGCTCGGCTATCAAATGGTCCTGCCGAATGCGAACCCGGAGCAGGTCCGAAATGGGTATTCAGAGACGGGTACGGGGCAGCACCACCACCAATGCCCGATGGCAAGGCGTACGTGCTAGGCGGGCCTCCAAAGTGGTGACCGTAACCACCCGACGCTCCGAATGGACCGGCAGCTGAGGCAAATGGACCTGGGCCTGGCGTTCCGGCCATGGAGCCAGAGCCCATACCGTAGCTAGAACCACTGTCCATTGGCGAGGGATAGCCAGAATCGGCAACTACTGCAGCGCCAGCACGGCTAGCGCCGCATCGAAGACAACAGACGTTCTTAGCAAAGTTGTGGTAACCACAAACTTCATTACCACACTTCCAATCTCCAGCTCGAAAGGGGACAACACCACTACCACCCATACGACCTCCTCCATGGCCCATGTTTCCGTGATGACCACCGTGATGCGGCGGAGGACCCATCATAGCCGGCGGGCCGTAACCATAGCCGTAGCCCATATCGCCTTGCGGCCCGGCGCTTACTGCTGGGAATGAGCAACGGAAGCAGGCCGTCCGTCTCTGAAAGTTGGAGAAACCACACGAGGGGCATGTCCAGTCGCCAGGGCGGGGTCGGTTCTTACTCGGGGGGAAAGGCGTCAGGATTTCTGCGGCTCGGTCAAGCACGCGACTAGAAGACGGTGAGACCTCAATGGCCTTCTCGTTCAAAGCGCGACCATTCATGCAGAGGCTCTCGGCGGCCTAAAATGTCTTAGTTAGCGTACAGAAACATGTGATATAAGTATCTATATGTAAGAACACACCTCTTCATGGGACGAAAATACGGCAAAACCGGTACCTGTGGGCTTGTGCTGTTCCGGGGTACGTAGGGTCCAGAAAGCAATGGGGCGACCACCAAATTGGGTGAACCAACTCTCAAGCTCCGACTGGGTAGTATCGTGAGGCAAACCAGACATGTGCAGAACCTTACTTCGCTCAGATAGGAATGCACGAACATCAGCACGGGCATCCATAGGACGGGTTAAGACGTCAGGATGCTCCTGGGGTGGTTGAGACTTGCGAATCAGGCCGCGCAGAACTCTGGCAAGAGTCACCGCCTCTTCCATGGCACGTCGAGGAGATGCTGGGGCAAGAGCCTGCAGGTGAAAGGGTAGGTTATGTTTGATCGGGGCACTAGATTGGACGGGCTCGACCTCGAGGGCAGCGCAGATGTTGGAGAGCATCGAAGGCCCGAAGGGGAGGGATTCAGGATGGTGCTGTTGCCATCGTTGGTATTCGGTGCGTAGATCGAATGTCCTCGAGTGTTGCAGGTAGGGTGGGAGCACAACAGCTTTGTCGCGAGCTTCGCGAGGAAGCTGGACACGAAGGTCCCAGGCATCGAGAGTAACAAAGACGAAGTCGAGATTTTGAGAGGTCAGGTGCTCAGAAGCGAAAGCATCGAAGCGGTTAACTGCGTCCCGGAAAGTTCCCGCATTTCGTACATGCTCCCATGTCAGGGTCGTAAGGCTAGCTATAAGCGCAAAACATATAAGTATTAGTCTGATGAAGCTAGAGATGCGTGCAGCGGGAATGACGATGCACGGAGAAGGGGGGAGGGGGAGGGAAAAGGGGTAGTCAATCCCGTAGCTACGACTTACTGCATAAGGGTGTAATAGGTGTATTGATAGGTTTCACGAGCACGCTCTCACGATGAATCTAGCATTGAAAGAAATAAGTCAGCACGCAAAAGTTCCCCTTTATAACAATAAACTCGTTGATTTCCACCATCCATATCCCATACCTCTTCAAGCGACTTAGAATCTAGGAGGATCCAGCCAAGCTCAATCACCTCTGCGGAATCCTTTGTCACGTAGACGCCGTGTTCATCACAGGTAGTTGCTACATGGATAACGACGTAGCGGTCGATATGAGGAGGTGGAGTCTGCTGGCTCGACATATTGGGCAGACTCGATGCCTATGATATAGGACGACGGTAGCGGTGATGTTGGTATGTAGTATGTAGTATGTAGTATGATGTTTTATAGTACAGTAATTAAAGTCGGACTTGACGCGGCTCGATGTAGTATTGAATGTTACGACGGAAACCTGTCAAGTTGAACTGAGCAGGTTTTAAGAATTTGGAAACCCGAAAAGTTCGAGAGGATCGAGGGTCATAAATGTGGGATCGCAGAAAGGAGGTCAAAGGCGGTGGCCGAGGTGTCGTAGCAACGAGCGACTGGAGCTCCAGTTTGTTTTTTTAAAAATGTGGATGATTAATAAGAGGAAAAAAACACAGCTAGAAAAGCCTTCAATGCAATACGCGATAAGGGAGAACCCAACGTCGAAAAAGTAGTTGTGGTTATTCCCTTTTTTTTCCCTTTTATCTCGGTAGGATTTTGACGTCTACCCAGTTATAAACCAGGCAGCTCCTCGCAATCTCGCAATCTCGCAATGCTGCAATGCCCTAATATCGAGAAGAGGGATCGAGGAGAGCGCCGGGGCAAGAAAAAAGGAAGAGGAAAAAAAGAGAAGAGAGAATAAGGGGTGGAAGAATGATGTTCTGGAGAGGGATAAGAGAAAGTGAGTCTGTTGTGCGCAGAAGGAAGAGAGGAAAAAAAGAGCACAGAGAATGAGACGAGTCACGACGAACACCTCCCAAGATTGCACAGTTGTTGCGTGGTGGGTTCGGTTGTAGCGAGAGCTGTTGGTTTTGGGCAGTGTGCATAGTTGGTCAATCTCCTTATGATTGATTGATTGATTGATTAATTGATTATTTTTTTTCTTCTCCTTCCTTTCCTTTTGGGTAACCCCCTCTTCCCCTAAACTTCCTATTACCTAACTAAGCCAAGTCTCTCCTACCTCTAATTATTTTAGCCCGGACCCCGAAAGGCCTCTAAAAAAAAAATTTAGACCGGGTCGAAGAGCGTTGAATTGTGGAGTTGCCAACGTGGGTACAAACGCATGTGGGCTTTATAAGTACCTGCCTCCTTACATAACGTCGTCATCTGCTTACCCAGGTACATTACACGTAGTATATCTAGCACCACCTAAGCAAGTCACAAGTCCCGCCTTACAGAGATATACCTAATGTACTATTTAATTCAATATGTAGAAGTCGTTTTCTTCTTTACAACTTTACAGGTTAAGCATTTTTCATAATCTACTTCTTAAGATAACGTTGCGTAGGTGTTATTAGATCCTACTCCGATATAAATCTAAATATGATATAAAGTACATTATCACCCACGTTCCTTATGTATTGAGGTATGCCATTACGCCATATATAAAAGAAATATATACCTCCAATACGATCATATGACTATTAACATATTCACACTTACAAATACCTACTTAGATGTGCGGGGTCCAACTGATGGCTTGGTAGAACAAATTAACGTACGGGAAGCGCAGCTATCAATACCTAATGCCATACCACCCCAGACTACATGCTTTACGTAAGGTACGCTGCTTCAGAGCTACGTCATCGGCGTCGTCCCGCATACTGAGACTTAAAACATACAAAACCAAAGCAAACCAGTAATTGAAGCGCGAATACGCCTCGTAATCCCAATAGAATTCCATATACCTAACCTACAACCAAGTCAAATGAGAGCAAATTCCGAATCTTTGTATTTCATCAACCTGTGACATTCAGCCTCGGCCATCAGCAGTGAACGACCATTACTTTACCTACCTTAATATAATCGGCTTCTAACTCGCAACCATTTCCTACTTGATCAAAATGGGAGCTGTCTCGGCTATTCTCATCGTCCTCATAACCATCCTTTGTGAGTACCAAGGAGGTCTCGCTGTAGGCACTAGCTACAGGATGGTCTAACCTAACCGCCATCTAGTCCCTCCGATTGGCGTCTGGGCCGTCGCCGGATGTGGCGCCGATCTGCTTATCAACATCTGCCTCACCGTCCTTGGGTATGTAATGGAGCGAAAGTCTTGTTACATGAAGCGATGCTAGAAAACTAGCTGATATGTTAGAGCAGATACCTCCCAGGTCACATACACGCTTTCTACCTCGAATACGTCTACTATGACCGTCGAGAACAGGCCAGAGAGGGCCGCTATGCCGCCCGACGAGCTGCCGGCGTGTACAGCGACCGCGTGCAAACCGGCGGCTATGGGTACGGCACGACGGTTCCGCCGGGTACTCACTAAATAGCTAGTGTATGAAGAGGGAACGTCGGTTTAATTCCAGGAGGGCGTTTTAGTTATGAGCACTAGGGAGTATATGCTTCCAAAATACGCCGGTGGTTGGTACGTAATAGCAGTACATGTTAAAGAAAAGTATGTTCATCACACCGAAGTTAGCTATTCATTACTATTCGAGAGAAGTCGATTTCGCAATTGCATAGAAAATTCATAGAGGAATATGATATGGCATTATATAGTTTAAGCCATCCAAAGCCTTCCATACCATTGATACCGACGTATGTATATTGGTATTGGTACACGATAGTCGCTAGCAAGGTCACCACCGGCCAAGGTAGGAGCTATGTAACGCTGAAACCTACATGACATTTCTGTACATATACATGTAGGTAAATGGGTAATGTGAGTGGATCGGTATGTAAATACCGTACGGATCCGTACTTAGCTAAGCAAAGCCCCTCCTCCAAACATCCAAACATGTAACTTTTACATGTATCTTACCTACCCACCTCTCTACCACTCAAATAGCACCACGACTTTGTGCAGCTCACCCTGGTTCTTCGTCCATCTCCTCTCGAGAAATCAAACCAAGAGTAAAACGACAACATTGAACAAGCTCGTCTCCGGTTCGAACCACATGTCCCGCCTACGCGCCGACGAATCATCCTATTTCTTTAGCTCCGACGCAGGGAATCACATCTATTATCTACGAGAACATCAAGCACTTCCTGTTGGCTGCCACAGCATATCGCCTAATACTACTTGCAATCAGCCCAGCTACTGGCTTGTCTAGTTCGTTTGGCTCGCCTGGCTCGTCTAAGCACTTCAAACCTCCTCCAGCCTACATATCTCGTATATACACCGAGCTTGCACATTATAGAACATGGCAGATACATCATATCCTTCAACCCACCCGCCTCCTCAGCTTCGTAGTAACTCCCCTCCTCATCCACAGACCAATATCACCACCAGTAGCTCTCCGAACGATAGCAATTTACCAAGGCGTTCACTGCCCTTCGTCTTCCCTCCTCTCTTTCCCAAAATTACTTCATCCACCTTTCTCGTACCAAATACTGCCGAAGGAAGACCAATCCCCCTCGACGACTCTACCGCCGCCCATCGTACTACTGCCCTACGCCAGCTGAGTCGCTCCCAACCATCCTCACGCCAACGCTATCCTAGAGCCAAACCTCCGACTAGTGCCAAGAGCTCAACGGCCGGAACTTATTCACAACCCGTCGTAGTGCGTACATATCCAGGAGCATCTTCGTCATCCTCTTCGACAGTTAAGGGCCCGGTGTCCGTCTCCAGTACCTCGTCTTCACATAATCTATCATCTCAACGTATGAAACGAAATAGCACAGTGAAGGACAAGATGCGTCGTAAAGGAACCGAAAAAAGACGCGCAACAGTCGAAGCCAAACTACCGCCTCTTGAATCCTTCACCTTTAAGAGTATCATATCAGACATACAGCAGGATGTTAATGCAGACCTCGACCGAATAGCAGAGATCTGTGCACGTACGAAATACTCTCTCAGCAACCAGTATGAGGTCCATATCGCCCCTCAAGGATCAGGGCCGGGGTTCCTAGGACCCCCATCTACATCTTTAAGGCATCATGCTCCTGTAGGGTCTACGCTGCAGTCGGTATCGAGCGATGACGAACATACCAGTTCCGTGCAGAGGAAAAGAAGAAGCGCTACTCGACGGAGAAATACCGCCTATGGTACTCTAGAAACAATTATGAGTTCGAGCAGGTCCTCGGATGAAGACAAGAGCAATAAAAAGCCGGCCGCTCGGATTATAGAGGAAGTAAGTCGTACTACTACAGGTACCAACGACGAGAGCACTAGTGCGGCCAGTACGGAAGCCCAGGCCAGTAGCGAACAACAGGACGACCAACAGGGATCTCTCTCGTCGAAGCCAGCTCTGTTCGCAACGGCCATTATCGACAGGTCTCGGAGCCAAATACAGAACACTGCTGCTTCCCCGGGGGCACCGGGGGTGATCTTGCTTAGTAGTCCTGCAGAGCCACGGACATCAAAGAATCACCTTGAAACCAAGACATCGCCTATAGGACCTACTGGAAGATATTATACACGCGAACCTCTAACGAGGATTCCTCAGGCAGTCGCATCGAAATCCGTAGCTGCAGCAGACATTACCACACCAGAAGAGCCAAGAGGTTCATCAGGTCTCTTGTCCGGGTTCAGCACATGGATGTCCTGGAAGGGAGCAAAGCCTTTTTCTGAGGTAGCTGGGGCAGATCCCGAGGTGTCTAGGGGCTACTCCTCTTACGCTGAAGGTACACTGAGGGAACTGCTCAGGTCAACAGAGCAAGTTGGGGACGCAACCAAAAAGGATATCAATATAACCACATGAAATTTTTGCAGGGTTTTATGGCCCACAACACTTCCTGTTGCTACTTTTATTGGATTGTTATAGTAGCAAGGCGTTTGGTTAGTTCTCCCGGCGAAAGGGAGAAGAAACAAAAAGCGTACGATGTATTACCAGTAAGAGGCACCGCACCGTGCGCGTTCAATACTTTCTCATGTTACACTTCAGAATAGGAGCTCTCACCTGTTTTATTATTAGGGAATAGTAAATCAGCCGGTTAGGAGGAAGAGATGAAGATACCCAAATATGACACCAGACATATATGTACAAAAGCAATTAGAGTTGTTAAACCTGATACCCAACTCAGCTGCTTTTGGGCCACTCCGTGCCAGGCGATAGCGAAACTTATGTTTCAATTTGCTAATATTTATTGTAGAACGCAAGTCGGTCTGGTTCCCCGATGGTTGGTTTGAGATTAAAGTTATGTTAAAGGGCGAATATTTGATCTGCTTTGACATGTTGTTCCCAACACCATAATATTCACGACACGTATAAGAATATACCAATCATTTCATACCAATGGCTTCTGTTACTCCAGCTCCAGCTTCTAGGTTGGCAGTGAATAATATATGTTTCTCGCCTCCCGAGCTCCGTTACAGTACTACAAGCAGATTACCATTTTCGGCCATCAGGATGTTCTTTGAGCATGAGCCGTGAAAGTCAAACTTCTCGAGATTCGAAGATAAACACCATAAGTTAGCTTCCTTTCCTTCTATCCACTTATCTTGTCATTAATAATATAATCATTTTCTCTTCCGTGTAACCATTCTCTCGTTGCCGGTCAACGCCATTTACATCATCAAAATGCCGATCTCTGCTTGAGTAGTTAATGGTAATAATGGAAGGGAGCAGTGAGGTTTTATGAATATCCTTGGGGATCTAGATTACTTAGCCAATCGAGCGAACTTTGTAGGTTTTATGATGTCACGAGGTGGAACAAGTAATAAGGTAAATATTATTCTATAAGGAACTTTAAACCAGTTATGGGAGCTTATAATTAAATATAAATATTAATAAGGTATTTTATTTTTAAATATTTTATATAAAATTTTAAAATAAAATTTTTAAATTATTTATAAAATTAATTAAAATAATTGTTAATTTTTTATATTTATTTAATATATTTATATTATAATTTTTTTAATTTTTTTTATTAATTTATTATTGTAAAAAATAAATTAAAATAATTAAATAATAAATAAATGTATTTAATTAAAAGGTTTTTATTTTTACGGGATAAAAGATATGATTAATATATATAAAATAAATAAAATGTAATTAAATAAAATTAATTAATTAATTTAATATTGTTTTTATGGTAGTTTTATTACGTTTATGAAAGTTATATTATTTTAATTTATAGAAATTTTACGGTTTAAAATTTTATATAATATAAGATTGTTATTAAAAATATTAAGTGTTTTGATATATTTAATAAAAATTATAAAATTTAAAAAATACGTTATATTGATATGATAATAAATAGTAAAAAGGTAGTTTAAACGTTAAATAGTTTTATTATTATAATAAACGAGTTTAAAAAAAAAAAAGAAAAGATGAAAAATTAGTTTGTTTAAATTAATTTAAATATAAAAGAAAAAAAAGATAAGTATTAAAAAGATTTGGAAATAATGATAAACTAGTTTAAATTGATAATAAATAAATTAAAAAAAGATAATATAAAATATATAAATAATAATAAAAAATTAAAAAAAGTTAATTTGGTATAATATTTAAAAAATGATTAATATTTTTTATATATAATTATTTACGATAAAAAATTTTTTATTTAATAATTTTTTTTTAAATTTAAATTATTAAAATTTAATAAAAGAAAAGATAAAAAAAGATTAATTAATATTAAAAGTAATATTATTTTTAAAAGTTATATTTTTAATATAAATAATATAAATTTTTTTAAATTATTATAATAAAGGGATAACGATTATAATTTACTTATTAATGATATAATTTTAAAAAAAAAATATATAAATATAATATTATATTAAAAATAATTTAATTTTATATTAAATAAAAAGAATTATTTAAAAGGTGCTTTTAATTGGTTGGTATATTAAAATATTTTAATATTTATTTTAAAATTAATTAAATATAAAAAAAGTATGGATTTATTATATTATAATAAATTGAAAATTGTTTACGTTATTATAAAAATTAATAAAAGAAAATTATTAAATTTAATTATAAGTATATAAAACGGAATGGAAATAATAAACATTTTTGTTAAATTTTAAACATTAATTGGTAAAATATATTAAAAAAAATTTTGGAAAAATTTTATAAAAATAAAGTATAATAGTAAAAATTTATTTATATTTATTTTTAAGTAAAAGTTTTAAATAAAATAATATAAAAACGTAAGTTTATTTATAAAATAAAAATAGTTAATTATTATATTTTATATTACGTATAAATAATATATTTTAAATTAGGTTAAATTTTTAATTAAATTTAATAAAAATTTTAATATAATTATTAATATTTTAATAAAGGAATTTAATAATAATTTTAAAGATAAAATAAAACAAAAAGATTTAGTAAATATATATAATATACAAGATAAAAAATGCGGTTAAGGTAAAAGAAACCGTAGTAAAAACGGAAGCTAAAGCGGTAATAATAATAATAATAATAATAATAACGGAATTACTAACGGAAAGCC